CTCAAAAAAAAAAAAAGAAAAGAAAAAGAAAAACAGAGCCCTATAATGACCAGCATGGTGGCGACACCTTTAATTTCTGCACTCAGGAGGCAGAGGCAGGCAGAATTTGAGGAAAGCCTAGTCAGCAGATTGAGTTCTGGAACAGCCTTGAAGAGAGAAAAGCATAGGAAACAGAAAGTAAGGGAAAGGGAAGGGAAGGGACAGGAGAGGAGGAGAGGGGAGAGGGGAAGGGAGGGGAGAGGGGGGAGGGGAGAAAAAAGGGAAGGGAAGAGAAAATGGGAGGAGAGAGGGGAGGAGAGGGGAGAGGGGAGGGGAGAAGGGAAGAGAGGAGAGAAGAAGAGAAGAGAAAAGAAGAGAGAAAAGAAACGAGAAAAAAGAAAAAAGAAGAAAGGAAATAGCTACATGGTTCAACCTGGTCAGTCAACACACAGCATCTTTTTAGCTTCAGCCAATTGGCTCAACACAAAGGCATATGATCCAATCTGGTCCAATGGGATAGCCCCTTCCTTCTGGGCAGGAGGATTCAGCCTAAACACATGGCCATCCAAAGCAAAGCTTGCCGAGGGAGAAAGGGAGACGGAGCCCTAGCGATCCCAGCACACTGGACCTCCTCAAAAATATGAGTCAGCCTTTCCCCCTCCTCTTTAAACCGGCATAATTGGTGTTTTTGTTATTTCCCACCAAAAGATTCCTGGCGACACCCCTAGTCCCCTGTTGTCCACTGTAGCTCTTGAAGAATGCTAAGTTGAAACTTCCTTGCCTCCAGATGCACATTTCCAGAGCAGATCTGGAAACCAATACTCAAGCCCAGGGAATCAAGACTCAGCTACTAAGAGACATGTCCCCTGGATGCTGAACTGGTTGGTTTTCATCCAAGAGGAAATTATCTCAACCTCATTGACCTGAGGCCATGTCTGAGGCAGGGGTGGGGGTTATCTTAATTGTTGGTTGAGGTTGGAAGACCCACCCTAAATGGAAAAGGTATTATTTCATGCACTGGGCCCCTGGCTATATAAAACAGTGATTCTCAACCTTCTAATGCTGCGACCCTTTAACACACTTCCTCATGCTGTGGTGACCCCAACCATAAAATTATTTTTGTTGCTACTTCATAAGTGTAATTTTGCTACTGTTATGAACTGTAATGTAAATATCTGTGTTTTCCGATGGTTTTAGGTGACCTTTGTGAGTTATTAGACCCCTTAATGGGTTGCAACCCTCACGTTGAGCAAACAAGCAAGCAAAAATCCACCCATCCCTCTTTGCTCTTGACTGTGGACGCAAGGCTCTAAGTTGCTGCCTTGACCGACTCACAATAAGGACTCTAACCTGGACGTACGAGCCAAACAAACCCTTTCTCCCCTAAGCTGCTTTTTGTCAGGGTGTCCGTCACACAACAGAAACGGAACAGGAGCAGATGGCTTTCTCTGTCGCTGGCTGGATGAGGTAAGGAGTTAGGCCATCTGCTCATCTTCACTCCTCCCCAGATGGCCGCTGGAATCATGAGGCAGTGGTGATGGGTTTGCCTGACCGCTCTGCCTGCTAGGGTCAGAATACTCTAAAGTGATCCTTCGGCAGGCCTGAGTAATCTGCCTACCCGTGCCCACCAGGGTCAGCTTAGGGGGCCAACTCAGAGCAAGTCTGTTGTCAGCCTGACTCTCTGGCCACTATAGCAGATCTTTAGATGACTGGAACATCTTTACATCATAAAGAGCTTGAACTAAACACAAAATTCATTTATAGGAGAAAACCAATTCTGAGAAAAAGCTCTCTCTGGGGTGGTTTGCAATGAGTGCGCAGTCCGAAGGGGCAGCTTGTCCTCCTTCCTGGATAATACAGGCGAAACAACAGCAGTTCCATGCCTGGCTGTCTATGGAACCAAGCACTCGGCACCCTGGGCTTATTGAAGGCAACTCTCAAATTCTGTCCTCACTGTAAGATTAGAAAGAGGCCATCAAGATGGTTCAGCAGGTAAAGTGCTTGCCAGGCAAACCTGAGTACAACCCCAGAATCCATATATGGGTGGAAGAAGAGAAGCAATTTGTGAAGCTGTCCTCTGATCTGCAGACATCACACACAATAATAATAAACAATTTTAAAAGCTCTCTGTGTGAGGAGGAGGTTAAACAACAACAAAAAAAATTAGAAAGAAGACTGATGCCCTCAACCTGAGGGACCTGAGGCCCTGACGGTGGAGGAAATGCCCGAGGTCACGTGCACTGCTGGTAGTGGAGCTGTGGGCAGGCTCACATCGAGGTCAAGCACCAGGAGCACTGCTGAGTGAGGCTTCTGTTTCTCAAAGTCAGAAAGCAAGCAGGGCTGTTGCCGTAACAGGGTCAAAGGAACGCTAGCCCACCGTCAACTACCTCTGGCTGCTGAATTCACCTAGAAGCAGGACAAGGCAGCTAAGTGAGTGCACGCAGCCGTGGCAAATGGTCACCAATGTGTCTAAAGATAAGGAAGATAATGAAGTATAGACGGGGCTGTAGTGGGGAAAGTGAATGATTTCTGAGAGCGTGCCATGAGTCTGTCAAGCCCTTCTTTGAGGCAACATGCTGCTCTACACAACCAACTAAAAAGCAAGGTGAGGTCCTGAGTGATGCTCATTTTGCCCATGCCATGTCTTGATTCATCAGGGTTGTTAGTATTTTCTCCTCCTAGCTGGGGTAGAGACTGTGCTCATACAGGGCAAGTCACTGAGCTATGTGTCCAGAGCTCTAAATTAAGTTAAGCTGCCCAGGTTGAGCTGAACTCACATTGGAGCCCAGCAGTCTTTGGTCTTCGGCTCAGTCCCCGAGTGTTTTGTGTGGTTTTGTTTCCATATTTTGTGGATCCTGACGGGACCCTTAATGCTTTGGACAAGTCCTTTTGGTCACTGTGAAACAAATGAAAGTTCAAGGGATCAAGAGAGCCAGAGAAGGACTGAGTTAGGATGGACCGTTCTCTCCCATTCTTCAAACACAGAATTCTAGATGATTCTTAAAGCGGTACTCAGCAGCCAAAGTACCTCTCAGTGCAGCTAGAGAACCGGAGAGTACAGATTACCCCACCCTCCGCCCCCACACAGGGGTGACCACAGAAAGCCGCTGGCCATGGGACTATGCGCAGAGGTGTGCTGGGCTGACTGAGGAGCCTCTCACAAGAGTCAGGTAAGATTTGGGGAATTTTGTGAACCAGGTAATGTTATGTTGACAATTTAAAGGTGGTCATGGTGAAAATACTTACACCACAGGAATAGGCTAATATAAATCAAGGGCCTTTAAATGTTTTTCCAAGAGAGCTATTTGTTAAATATTTCCCAGCATGCTACTGGACTTGGGAGAAATAGTTCTGATCCATTTATCTATTTGTACATCCATCCACTCATCCACCCATTCACTCATTCCTTCACCCATCCAGCCATTCACTAATCCATCCACCCATTCACTCACTCATCCAACCTTCCATCCATCCATTCACAGGCCCAGCTCATCCATATATACATATCATACATATAATTTTGACCCATAATGTAGCTTTCACTCCCTCTCATACTTGTTCAACAGACATTTGCTTTGTGATCCGCTGTCTGCCAGGTTCTGTGCTAAGTATTGACAGTTCAACAGTGGGCAAGAGAGAGATAATCCTCTGCCTTCGTAGACTTTACAGACTAATAAGAGAGTCAGATTTTACACCCCAAAAAGCAAAATGACCTTTACAATGAGAAGGAAATTAGCCAAGCTAAGCTGGTAGGTGGGGGCAGAGAGACAGCAGGAAGAGGGAACAGCACAAGTCCTACATCAGGAGGAAGCCTGGGGAGCTGAGGGAAAGGCTTGTGAAGAAACACAGCAGAGAGGCAGGCTAGGGTCCCTTCCTAAGCCTCACACTCTGCCCAAGGCCACACACATCGAAGGTCTATGGGTTTCCACCCTCATTTCCTCTTCAGGTCCTCTCTACGGGACCCTTCCTGGACTCAGTTTCCAAGTGAGAGCCAAAAATGGAGATGATACCCAGGCCTAGCGCTACCGGTCTATACTCCCAGCTTCTCAGGCTGAGGGCAGGAGAATTGCAAGTCCACGGCCTGACAGGGCTGCAGAATGTGTTTAAGGTCAGGCTAGAGAACAGTGAAACTCTTCAAAATAAAAACTAAAAAGAAGGAAGAGGGATGGGGATAGAGTTGGGTGGTAGAGTGTGTGCCTAGTAAGAGCATGGCCCTGGATTAGTACCCAGTACTGGATGGGAGTGGGAGTGAAGAGAGCTGCAAGAACCAACTTCACAGAGTGGGTGTGAGAATCAACTAAAGACAGCAACGAAAAGCTCTTGGCTCTGTGTCTGGACAACTCAAAGTTTCAATACATGAAATTACTCCCTTTGTTTCCTTCCTTCCGCAAGTGCTGCTCAGTCTTTTTCCTCATTTACATTGAGCCTCTCTTCTCTAAGAGCATCAGGCCCTGTAGGAGGTGCTGGGAAGGCCAGGCGCCAGCAGGGTGCATGCACGTGATGGCCCTTCAGACAACAGGCTGGTCTCCACCTCCAAAGTACCTGCCTTGAATCATCCCACACCCTTCCTACTGACAAGCTGGCCCTTGGTCTGCAAGACAAGACCTCTCATTGGGCCTTCAGCATCCAAAGATGCTCAGACACGGATGGGATGTGAACTCCCCCACCTTTTCCATGCTGATTGCCACTCAAATGCAATTGCTCCTGTAGTGAGGATCCCTTTCCGCCTCGAGTCTATGAGAGCCTAGAGGGAACTGGCTGAATTTGAGTTCTCAGTCACCACGTTGCTTGGCGCACAGGACTATTGGTAGGCTGGACGAATTCTACACATATTCTAGGTAGCCCAAGAGTGGCCCCAACCGCTGGCGTGGCCCTGCTCTTGTCTCAGGCTCTGTGGCCGAAGGGCACCCAAGGCCATTCAGAACCACCGCAGTTCAGAAACCCAAGTATGAAGAAGAGCATCAAAACTAAGAGACGGAAAGGGGCTGTTCCCTCCATCCATCCACTATCCCCAGACTTACTGAGGAGCTGTCGGCTCGAGTCGCTGACCGTCACATTCTCCTGCCAGAAGGGGTTCATCAGCGGCGTGCAGGAGTTCTGGACTAATAGGAGGGAAGAGTTAACGGGCAGGACACTGGCATTCTTTCCCCCAAAGCCGCTCTAGATGTCTCCCACCCAAAAAAAGAAAATGGGGCATTGTGCTCTTTAGAGCCGAGCTGGGCACCGCCGGGAGCACTTGCGCAAGCCCGCCTCTCTGTCCACCCTTCCCGCACCCCTAAGTGCTTGGCACTGTGAGTTTGGAGGCTAAGGGAGGAGTGTGCGCCAAGCAACAGGTCCCAGACTTGCAGGTGTAGTACCCGGGTGCGGTGCGAACACGGACACTTGGGGAAGACCCTTACCCCGGCAAGTCCGCCAGAGACCCGAGTGGGAGCTCAGCGGCTCCAGCTGGCTGCGGTTGGCGGGTCCCCGGTCCTGCGCTCCGGGGCTGCTCCTCTCCAGCCTCTCGGTGTCGATGATGTACCAGAAGTCCGTTCCGATGGCGGCCGCCAGCAGCACAAAACTGAGCGCCCCGCTCAATGCCGCCGCGCCCGCCAGAGCGCCCAGACGCACCCGCATTTCCCAGCGTAGGGCCCCTAGGCGCCGGTTCCTGCCCACGCTCCCCGACTGTTCACTGCACCCCAGATTCTCCAGCGTGGATCTGGAACCCAGCTCAAACTCTGGCTCCACCACCCTCACCTGAGCGATCACACTCGCACGTGCTCCGGCTCGGACCCAAGATCTCCGGGCTCCCTGTCCTCTCCGGGCTCCCTGTCCTCTCAGACCTCCTCCCTGGTGCCTTCCGACCCGCCCCGGAGCACGGGTCCCAGACCAACAGCGTGGCTGCCTTCTCACTCAGCTCCTCCCTGTGCCCTGTGCACAACCCCAGCGCCTTCTTCCAGCTCAGCACTTTCCTCCCCAGACCCCTACCACCACCTCCACTCCCTTGCCTCACTCTCCATGAACCCCCTCCACCGTCCCCTGACTCGATTGGCCTCAGTCCTCCTTGCTCTTCCAGCCCACACTTCTGCCTTGACCCCACACCCACTGCAGCCCAGGTCTACCTTCGCTTCCCACAGCTCTGGTTCAGGACCAGTGCCCTGAAACCTCTGGGAGACTGGCTCCCAGTGCAGGCAGGCAGGACTGAAGGAGGGGCCAAGGGGGCGGTGCTGGAGAGAGGGCGGACATCAGACACACTGGAATCCGAGAAGGGGTGACACTCTTGTAGTCTAAGGGTACAGGCTCTCCTGTAATTCCATCTCCTGAAGCGATTTTTATTCCAAAATCCACCTTCAAGTAATTTTTCTGGGCTGGCTACAAAGGAAAAAGTCGGATTTGGTTTTTTGTATAAAAATTCTTTGAAGAAGTAGTAAGGCTAGGTTCTGTGAGTCTATTTTCTTTGTCACCAAAGTCTTCATCATCACAGCTAGCCCCCACCTTCCTCACCCCATTCCCACTCCCACCGCCTCCATTACCACTACCAACACTACCCTTACCCCACCCCACCATCTCCATCACCATTACCACCATCACTACCATCACCTTCACCATCTCTACCATTGCTCTCATCCCACAACCATTATCACTACCATCACCCCTCACCCCACTATCATCATCACCAACAATCATCCCACCATCACCAACAACCATCCCCACCATCACCAATAACAACCATCCCCACCATCACCAATAACAACCACCCCCACCTCACTCCCACCATCATTACCACTGTTACCAGCAGAAACACCATTCTCCTTACTGCCATCAGTATTCTTACCAACCCTACCATCTTCTTAATCACCACAGAACCATTCCTTCATGAAATCCTTGCAAAGCCAGCGTGTCTGACACAGGGTCCATGTTGAGAAGGAAGGCATGAGCAACCCAAACACAACCTAGACTTCCCGGTCCTTCTCAAGCAAGTCACCCAGAGAAAATACTCACGTGTGTTCAGCACATGGGAATGAAGGACGCAGAGTCTAAGAGACAGACATAGCCTGTCTTGGGGGTGTAACTATCGACAGCCTTCATGGCTGAGGGGTCAAACCCTTGGCACTGCTGTGATATAATCTTAAAGAACTGTCATGCTAACGTCCAAAAGTGAACAGGCTTCATGGTCAAGCCCAGGATCATTAAAATGTGCTTAGAACATCCCGAGAGATGGTAGTGGGGTGAGAAACCATAGGGGAGGTCTCAGTCAGTCTCTGAGGATGTGATATTGATCCTGAGACATGGGAGACACGTCAGCCTACCATGCCTATAGAAGTGTGAACGTTTTGGCACATCCCAGAGAAGCTGAAGGAAATGGTGAAAGAAGGGGGCACAGAAAAGTGAGATGGGTATGGTGGATGGCAGTGGTGTACAGGTCTGCAGACTCATGAGGGGCACTTGGTATTTCAGAGCCCCCAGGACTGAAAGTTTAAATCATTGGACAGTTTAAAGCAGGGAACTGAAATGTTCCACCTTATGGAGATGGGGAGGAAGACACCCTCAATCTCTGTGCTGTCACCGTATACCACCAAATGGCAAGAAGCAAGAAGAGCTAAGAAGGTGAGGGGCTGGGAGGATGGTTTAAAAGTAAGAACCTTTGCTACACAAGCATGAGGATCTGAGTTCAAATCCTGAAAATGCACATAAAAAGCCAGACATAGTCACATGCACTTGTAACCATAACTTTGGGTGGGAAGGACAGAGGTGAGAGGATTGCCAGGGCTTGTTGATTACCAGCCTAACTCCAAATTCAGAGAGAAACCCAGCCTGAAAGCAGCAAAGCAGAGCATACCTGATACCCTACCCCAGTCCCCATGGCATGTATGAGAATGTACACACGCATTCATATGCACATACAACAACACAAAAAGAACTTTTTAAGAGGAGTTGAGAAGACCTAACAGGAGAAGCAAGGGGTCCTGTAAGTTGGGCTAGGCTAGAAGCATGGTGGACAGGGGAGGAAGTGTGCGCAGTGTTTTTAATTGAAAGGATAGAATTGATAAGGACAGCAACAAACTAACGAAGAGAATTATGCTTTTCTCGTTGTTTTTCTCATTCCCAAATATGTCTTAATCTTCATCCTTCTCACCCTCATCTTCATCTTCAGCAGCAGCAGCAGACTTAAATTGTAATTAAACCTTCAACTTCACCTGCTCTTGGCTGACTTTCTAAGAGTCACTAATTGTGGAAGTCACACAACTGCAATTCATTTTTAGTCTCCCACTGGCTTTTCTGTAAATGACACCTCAGACCTAATAAGTTGAACACTATTCCTCAACAAATGTTATCTCTCTCATCGTCTGAGGCAAGGGGCTTTTCTCTGCATTCCCTGATCCTCCTGGGAAAGTAACCTCTTTCTATCTCTTTCTGTCCTCTGAATCAAAGACCTTTTGTACCCCAAGCTATCACAGCAGAATAAGCTGTCCTTGGGAGGACGTCAGTCACGGAACCTTTTAATCAGTAATTTTCTTCAGATTTACAGGACCCAGAACTCGGCTTGTAGATAATAGCAGCCCACGAATCAGAAAAAAATAGGCACCTTCCTTGAAATTTGTGACCACCTTGTCATTTGTAATGAGACCATTGCCTGCCTCTCTGACACGTCTCCCTGTCACTCCCTTCATGCCCGCAGCCCCTAGGGAAGTGGTCTTAGTTGCACAGATCCTTATTCCTGGGACAGCAGTTTGTCCTTGTGAACTTAGATAGATAGTTGTAAGCTAACAGTGTTTGTTATCAACTGCAAAGTGGCATCTCCCTATTCTGCACACCATTCTGCCCCCTCATCTTTATCCACCATCCTCCATAAGATCCTTCTTTCTCCTCTCTGTCGTTACTGATGGTGTGTGTGTGTGTGTGTGTGTGTGTGTGTGTGTGTGTGTGTGTACAGATATGCTCACCCATGAATATACATGCGGAAACCAGAGGTCAGCTTTGGGTGTCTCCTTCCAACCCTTTCCACCGCATTTGCTGAGACGAGGTCCCTCAGTGAATCCGAACATTGCCATTCAAAACTGGACTGCCTGGCCGATGAGTCCCAGAGATCCATCTGTCTCTGCTGGGGTCACAGGTGTGCTCCGCCATGCTTAGCCTTTACATGGGTGTGAAACGTTCAAAATGGATCCTGAGCTTGTACAATAGCACTTTATACACTGAGCCATAGTCCCACTCCAGCTTTGTTTGCTTTCATGAGAAACATCACCAAAAAGATTCACATCATCAACTTTACGGATGTAAAAGTAAAACCTGACTGCATCCCAGAAGGCCTAATGATATCTAACAGATCTCTCTCTCTCTCTCTCTCTCTCTCTCTCTCTCTCCCTCCCTCCCTCCTTTCCTCCCTCCCTCCCCTCCTCCCTCTCCCTCTCTCCCTTTCACTTGACTTCAGATTCCATTCTTCAGTTTGACTCTTACTTGTGGCCTGGGAGACAATCTTTAACACAGCACAGCAAACCAACAAAAAGAATCTCTTTTTAAATGGTACCAACCAGATTTTCAAGAATAGGAAGCTCATTTCCCATTTTTGGTAGAATGCTCATCTTATCTTCTCTGTTTACACGAACCATCCCCATGGCTCTGGAAGATATGAAGCTTGCTGACCACACTTGGGACACCTGCAGAGTCCCACTGTAATCATCTGATCAAGGTGAGGGGTCACATTGCAGGAATAGGAAGATGAGATGCCCAATTAAATTAGAACTTCAGATTCATGGTGAACATTTTTTCACAGAAGGATCTCCAAAGCCAGACATGACAGTGCATGCTAATAATCCCAGCACTTAGAAGACTGAGGCAGGAGGATCAGGAATTCAAGGTCAGCTTCCAACATAAAGGGGGTTCAAAGCTGGCCTTGGTTGTATGAAACCCTATCTCAACTCCCCATTATTCACAAAGGGATATATTTGAAATATACTTTTAAAAACATGTTGTATTGTTTATTTGAAGCTTAAATTTAATTAGTTATTATGCATTTTACATGATGAACCCAGCTCCAGTAGGAAAACCAAGATCCATAGACCAGAACCAGCAGCACGGACAGTCATGGGTCAAGCCACTAGATCTGGCCCTCAGATCTAGCAGGGGCATGTCCCCTGGTGGACGTCCGCATTCCTCACCTGCAGAAGACAGCCTTAGAGGTTTCTCTGCAAAGATAATTTTGTAGGCTTTTTTGGGAAAAAAAAAAAAAAGTCCTTTCCCCCTGAAGAATTTAACATAGTCTAGCCACACTGTGCCCAGTCACCCTGAAAGGAACAGTCAGGGCTGTTCTTAGCAAAGCTGAGGTGTGTGTTGGGGTGTGGGGAGGAGGGTCATGTCAAACCCTGTATAGCACCATGACTCAGCCAGTCAGCCACAGAGCCCTGATAAAACACGCTGACTCCTAACACAGGAGCCAAACACCAGCGCACTGGAGGCGAAAGTGTTACCAGGCACCCTGCTAGCCAGGGACAGAGCCAGAGCGGTGGAGAGCAGCACCCAGCAGGGATTCCAGAGGCTGGTCTCTGTCTTAAAGCAGCATCCAACAGGTTGTGTGAGTGCTGAGAACTTGCTTCCCTGAGCCCTGGTTTCCTTATCAACCCCAGAAGGACAGCACAGAGATGAAGTGGACTGCGGTGGGCGAAAGCCCTTCTGACCAGTGCCATCACAGCACGTGGGGTGCCGCTCCCAGTGGAACGGGGAAATGTTTTAAAAGGAAGGAGCAAAGGGAGGATGTCAGGACAGACACTGGTGGTGGCTAATTGTGATTATCAACTTGATTACATCTGGATTTGACTAAGAAACACACTTCTGAGCGGGTCTGTGAGGGCACTTAGGGGAGGCTTAGCTGGAGGTGGGGGAGCAGATAGCCCCGCCCAGCTGTGAGAGCCGAGGAAAAGAGATCTGAGCAAACACCAGTGCCCTTGCCTGCCTGGCTCGCTTTCCTCCGCCTCCTTCCTTTTCGGCTGCTGCTACTGCTGCTATTACCATTCTTCACTGACGTCAGAAGCCAGCTTCAAAGAATCTCCCAGCCCCTCAGTGCTAGACTGAGCTGTGAAGACATGCAGCTTCAGGGACCCAGCTGCTACTAGGTTCTCAGTCTCTCTGGTGGGAGATGGGATTGTAGATCTACTGAGCCTGTATCGAGTTAGACTGTTTAATAAGTCTTCTCATGCATTCGTTCTGTTGGTTCTTCCCTCTAGAGAACCCTAACATCCAGCGAAGTTTGTCTTGTAACCATGAAACCTGGAACATCACAGAAACATCATACATGTATCATACATGTTTGAGTCAAGGGGACTCAGGCTTGGCTCTTCTCCTTCTTGCTTACCAGCCTGTGAACTTGGGTAGGTCACTTTTCCTTGTGGCCTCGATTTGCCTATCTGTAATACTCTGGTTGGCAGCATCACTCCGGTCACAGGGCCCTCTCCCTAGTGTCCAGCCTTTACATGCGGATGCTAATCACTGGCCATCTTGATCCTTGTGACCTCACCTGAACTCATTGGAGTAGAAAAATGTTGTTTTCAGGGTCATATTCTGGGGTTCTGTGGCCTGTCAATCTGGGGAGAATACTCCTCAGCCAAACACACATGCCAGACCTGATCTGCAGAGATGTAAGCCAGCTATGGCCATCACCACCCCTTTTCTTCCTCTCTGGATTCACGGAGCTATGAGACAGAAATGGTCACTGTCTGTGCCTTTGTCCCACCCTGTGAGTCTCCAGCTTGCTGAGCCCTCATCCAGAGTAAGAAGGCTCCTTTGTGTTTCTGCCATCTGGAAAGCCTGCCTGTTTGTAAGGAGACGCACACAGGCATGCATCTCTAATCACAACCAAACTCTTGGACCTGATGGACAAGGTCTCCCTGCCCAGTGCTGTCTCCTAGTCCAACCTGGATGGCCTTTCACCTGGGGGTGGGGCACGGTACTAGTGCAGTGGGAAAACTCCAAATCCTGGCTGGTTCCTCCAGCATCACATACATGGTCTTTAAGTTTCCTGGACGTATGAAATTCTTTCTCATGGGCCTTTAAATTACCAGCTCCTTAGACTGCAGTGTTCTTGAAATGTCTGGCTCCATTATCATCTGGTGGAGCCAAACATTCTGGAGGTGGTTTAATGTGGGGAGTGGGGGGAGCTGTCAACAAGCCAGGAAGTGAGACACTTCAGATCCTTGTTCATCTTCAGCCAAGCATGATAGTGCATGCCTGTAATCCCAAGATTAAAGAGGAAGAAGCAAGAGGATCAGGAGTTCAAGGCTATCCTCAGCTATATAGCAAGGAGGAGACCACAAAAGGCTCTGCCTTAAATAAAAACTTTTTAAAAAGATGGAGATACAGTGTGGATGGGCAAGTGTTTGCCTTGCAAGCATGAAAGCCTAAACTCAATGCCCAGAACTAACAAGGAATAAACAAACAAACAAACAAAAATGGAGGTGTATGCTTGTAATCCCAGTACTGGAGAGACAGAGATAAGTAGATCCTGGGGATTCATGGCCTATTCTGCCAGCTCCAGGCCAATGAGAGACCCTGTCCAAAAAGAAGATAGTGTCTGAGAAAACACTCAACATTGTCCTCTAGTCACCAAACATAAGTACACATATATGCACATGCACCTACACACACACACACACACACACACACACACACACACACACACACTTGCATGCACATAGAACAAAAAAAGGCCACTTGCCTTGGGTTTACAAGTGTAAGGCCCTTATAGGCATTTGGGGGGCAAGGTAGGCCAGATAGGGACATGCCAGGGAAATTATTCATCCTGGATTGTCTGCTCCTCTGACATGACTCCTATAAATATAAATAAAAGTAACTAACACCAATCTGGTGATGCAGGCCTGTCTTCCCAGCTGTGCTGAGGCTGAGCCAAGATAGCAAGTTCAAGGCAAGCCTGGGCAATTTAGCAAGAGCCTCTCTTTCTCTCTCTCTCTCTCTCTCTCTCTCTCTCTCTCTCTCTCTGTAGAAGAAGTTGTAGTGGCATTTCATTTTGTATTTTAAAAACAAAGCTTGCCCGAAGATCAGAGAGTAAAACAGCCCCACTGGTCAGCCTTATAGACCAGGCAGTGGTAACACCTTTAATCCCAGTAGACAACACTAGTTGCTATAGAAACCGGGTGGTACATGCCTTTAAACCCAGTGGTGCACTCCTTTAATTCCAGCCCTAGAGAGGATTATAAGGCAGGAGGAGACAGCTCATTCTGAGAATCCTGGAGGCAGGATCACCAATTCTGTCAGAGTCTGAGGTAGGAACCAGTGGCTGGCTGTTTTGCTTTTCAGATCTTCAGGTTGAACCCTAATTTCTGTCTCTAAGTTTTCATTAATTGTGTTTCAGGAAGTTGTGGAGTAAACATTTACCTGGCTTGTGGAGAACCCCATATCAATTAACACTGTAAATTACAGTTAACACTGTAAAAATAAAAAATAAAAAGGAAGGAAAGAAGATGAAAGTTATTAATTAGAACACCGTGACTCCTGTATTTTTAGAGCTTTTTTCCAGGAACAACTGATTCTGCCCTTAACTGAGGCACCTTTCCCCAGAGGACAAAGGAAGGGAAGAAGCTGCTCTTCCCTGGAGGACCGAGGAGCTGAGGAATAAAAGCTTGCTCTGGTGCTCTGTGGAGCATGGAGCGGGTAAGGGTTTGGTTCTTGTTGTTTGGCTAACTAGTTCGTTGGATCAGGAGTTCAAAGTCATTGTCAGCTACAGTGAGCTTGAGGATGACCTAGTTTGATTGAGATCCTGCCTCATAAAACATAATCAATTAATCAATCAATCCGATATTGTAAACCTAGGTCAACGGTCTCACCAAATCTTGCTAAGACATTAAGATGGTGTTGATGCCCACTCAATCTCCTGAAGCCCTCCTCTTCCTATTTGTATGGATAGCATACTAGGACACATTTGGTTCCTCACTGCTGAGGTGGGAGGGCAGGGATCAATGCAGAGTTACAATGAGAAACAGCTGTCAGCCTCACAGGAGTGGGCTGGAGAATAAACAGCCCCAATGTCTCAAGCGGGTGGTGAGGTTCTGAAGCTATGTTCCAATCCAACTTCGGGGGAGTCAAGTGAGAGCCCTATGCACACAGCAGCAGCCTACTCAGCACTGAACACCAGGAGAGCCTGGTCTGGTGACAGAGGCTGCCATCACAGCTGCTAAGAAGACTGAAGCAGGAACACCGAGAGTTCAAGGCCTGCCGGGACTTTAGAGTGAATTCAAGGCTAACCTGGTCAACTTAGTGAGACTATCTCAAAATAAAAAGAAAAGAGAGAACCAGGAACTGAGTAGGAATACTTAGTACATAGGCCTGAGAAACCGAGTTCAACCATCAGAAACAAAAGGAGGAGAGAACAGACCCCTGAAAGTTGTCCCCTGCCCCCCACTGCATGTTCTCTCTGTCTCTCTGTCTCTCTGTCTCTCTGTCTCTGTCTCTCTCTCTCTCTCTCTCTCTCTCTCTCTCTCACACACACACACACACACACACACACACACACACAAACTGTCCTGTTTAGTATTTTGTAAACTTCCAACAAGCTAGCCATGTGGGAAGAAGGACTGTCAACTGGGAAAATGCCTACCTAGGTTTGGCCTATTGGCGGGTCTGTAGTATGTTTCTTGGTTAACGATTGACGTGGGCAGGCTCAGCTCACTGTCCCGGTGGCTTCAGAAAGTAGGCTGAGCCGGTCAATAAGCAGATCTCCTCCATGGCTTCCACTTCACTTCCTGCTGTTAATCCCACCAAATGAGAGTAAAAGCCGTCACCCAAACTCTTTGATCAAATTAATGCAGCTTTATTTTCTGTCAGACAGGCCTCTCTCCCTAAAACGGGGTTTGAGGAAATAGCCTGGAACACAGAGAAGGTGGGGTTTGTATTAGCCCCCAAACTTCGAGGCTAGGGGGATTTGCAAGGGTTACACAGAAACTTCAAGGAACATTTCAAAATTATTTAGAAGAACATATTATCTTATCAGCATGTAGGTGAGGGTACAGGGTATAAAACATGGCAAATTCGAGAAAAAGGTCAAGACCTGGTCAAATTTAAGTTTTACAGGCAACAAGAATGAACCTATTTTGACCTTGTAATAAGAAAGTTTTTAATAGTAAAATGGCATCAGAATGGGTCCATCACCGCCTCCAGGTTCCTGCCCTGACTTTCCGCAGGGATGGACTGTGATTTGAGAATGGGAACTGAAGCAAGCCTTCTACTCTCCCATGTTTCTTTTGGCCACGGCGTTCACCACAGCAATAAAAATAAAATTAAGATGCACACAAGGAGAGTGTTGGGATATAATTCAGTGGTAGATCTCTTGCCTATAAGGTCTGGGTCCAATCTGAAGGAAGGATGGGAGAAAGAAAGGGAGGAAGAGAGGAAGGGAGGGAGGGAGGGATGGAGGGAGGGAGAAAGGGAAGGAGGGAGGGAGAAAGGGAAGGAGGGAGGGAAGGAGGGAGGGAGGGAGGGAGGGAGGATGGAAGGACAGAAGGCAAGCTGGATAACCGTGGTACACTAGCAGGATTGAATTATTTCAAATATGTGTGTGTGTGTGTGTGTGTGTGTGTGTATCACAATATATTTTATGCTTACTATTTTTAAAATATGTATAAGAGAAGCCAGAGTGAAAACCTTTGGATGATAGGAATAATTCTCAAGCCAAGGAACAGAGTGAACGGAGAGCCATTCACAGCAGCTTACACGTTCCCAAAAAGAGGTGGGCATGGTGGCACACACGTGAAATCCCAGCACAGGGAACTTGAGGCAGAACAATCACATGCGCACGGCCAATTGGACTACAGACTGAGACCCTGTCTCGAAACAACCAAAGGGGCTAGGCAGAGTGGCACACACCTTTAATCTCAGCTCTAAGGAGACAGAAGCAGGTGAATCTTTGTGAGTTCAAGGTTACCTGGTCTACAAAGAAAATTCTAGGACAGTTGAGATTACATTATGAGATCCTGTCTCAAAACCAAAACAGAACAATAACAAAACAAACAAAAACAAACAAAAAACAAACCAGCCAACCAGAGCAGGGCATGTGACTCAGCAGCAGAGTGCTTACTTAGCATGTTCAAGGTCCTGGGTTCCATTACTACCAGCCTAAGAAATAGGCAGTCTTTCCTCAGACACCCCTCACCTAGCCCTGCCCAATGATCATTAACCAACAGCTACTGATGAGCTGACTTGCTACCTTTCGGTCTGCTCCTCCAGCCTGGAGACCTCACAAGGAAACACAATAGAGGGGGCTGGAGAGATGGCTCAGTGGTTAAGAGCACCACCTACTCTTCCAAAGGTCCTGAGTTCAATTCCCAGCAACCACATGGTGACTCACAACCATCTGTAATGAGATCTGGTGCCCTCTTCTGGCCTGCAGGCAGAGCACTGAGAATATTGTATACATAATAAATAAATAAATCTTTTTTTTTTTAAAAAAAAGAAACACAATAGAAACTAAGAACTACTCTAGATTCACTTGCCTTTCCCTCCTCCTCCTTTCCCTCCCCCTTCCCCCTTTCCTCATCCTCCCTTACATTTCTGGGAAGTTTCAATCAATTAAGTTGAAATGGAGTCTTCTGGAAAGAATTTCCACAAGGGAGGTAGGCACACAGGGAATTGTGCAAATTGTACAAATGCAATTTCAGGAAGTATGGTGGCCATTTTGCAGTTGTTAGAATAACAATCAAGTCATTGGCAAAGCTTATAGCACCTTTGTAGAACAGACCCATCCCTGAACTGCCCACCTCCAAATTTCTTTAGAGTATGAAAACTGAGCCTCTTATCTTGGGTGTCTGGTACTTAGAACTGAACACACCGTGAATGGATCAGGCAGGGATGGCATTGATTTTATTCAACTCTTAACATTGGCTTTTAGGCATGTCCACAACACACTGTAGATGTTCGATAAAGATTTGTTGACTTGAGAAATGAATAAATAACCTCTATCTCCTCCTCCACAAAACACCTCTTACTGCAAGTGGAGTGCCTACTTTGTGTGGCAAACCCATCAGAAGCCAACTGAGACCTCTAAGACTTATAGTCGGGATATCCACGTGGTTATTAAGATTGTTACACTCTGTGTGCCTGAGGTCAGGATGCTCTACTGGCCAGCTGAACTCCAAAGTCCTGAACTACACATAGCTATTTCAGTGTGAGCCTTCCCTGTCCTTTAGAGACCTCCAGAGAAGACACTTTCCATAGCCTGTATGATGTGACCACCTTGGAATAAAAAGGAATCGTGGGCCTACATCCCATTCTCCCATCACAGGTCTGTCATAATGCCAGGAGACAACAGCTGGAGCTACTTTTCTCTCCATTCCAGAGGCTTCCCAAATTGGATGGTCCGGGGAAAAGATGCTGTCAGGTGGCACAGGCAGATGGCAGAGAGTTTAAACTGGGAACCTGGACTAGAGACAGAACCAGATGCCTCTTTGAGCCTCAGTTTCCTCATCTGTAAGGAGAGCTAAGAAAAGTCCTCTTCTAGAAATTCATGGCAGCAACATCTGTGTGTGTGCATGTGCGTGTGTTTGTGCGCGTGTGTTAGTGCTCATGAGTACAGTCTAAGTATAGGTGTACCTGTGTCACAGTACATGTGAGAAGGGCAGAGAACACCCCAAACATCTGTGTGTGTGTGTGTGTGTGTGCGCGCGCACGTGTTTGTGCATGTATGCTAATGTTCATGAGTACAGTCTAAGTATAGGTGTACCTGTGTCACAGTACATGTAAGAAGGGCAGAGGACAACCCCAAACATTTCTCTCTCTCTCTCTCTCTCTCTCTCTCTCTTTCTCTCTCTCTGTGTGTGTGTGTGTGTGCATGTGTTTCTGCATGTATGCTAGTGCTCATGAGTACATGAGTACAGGATAAGTATAGGTGCACCTGTGTCACAGTACATGTGAGAAGGGCAGAGGACAACCCCAAACATCAGTCCACCTTGCACCTTATCTGAGATAGGATCTCCTGTTATCTGCCATTGCATAGGCCAGGCGAGCTGGCCCTGGAGATTCTGAGATTCTCATCTCTGCCCCACATTCTCCATGATAACACTGGAATTACAGGTGGTGTTAGTACATCTGCTTTCCCTGGCTTCTGGGGAATCTGAACTCCGGTGCTTCTGCTTGTGCACCAAGTAGCTTGTCTCTTGTGCATACCCCAGCTCCACAGCAGCTGATCAATGTACAGAAGCATTACAAATGTGGCAGGCACCTCTAGGGACTCCCCTTTATGAATCCTTATGTCAATCTTCTGAAAGAAGTCCACTAACACAAGTACATCACAGATGAGAGCACCGGGGCTCAGAGATGTTGACAAGAGGGTGAGCATCACACAGCTCTCATTAAAGGGGTCAGAATGTGAACATGAGTTTGTCTAAACCTGGAGACACACTTGGATGTTCAGCTGACTCCATGTCTTTACTCCTTACAGTAGTATGAAGCCTGTCTAAGAGATGGTCAGTCAACACAGATTAATATGAGCTCACTGGCGAGGAGTTTAATATGAGAGACAAATAGGGCAGGATTTAAGAACACTAGAGAACCTTCCTCGCTTCAGACACCTCCATGGCATAGTAGCCGAGTGGTCTAGATAACCGTCTCACCCTGACCATTGTTCTTCCTCTTCAGTCAGTAGATATGGATACGGTGCATACGATGTTTGGGGGATTGTGAAGTATAAGCAACTCAAAAGCCCTTTACCTGAATGATGCAAAAAGAAACTGTGGTCTGCCTGAGCCATGGAACATCCTACAACAAGGGAAACAAAGGAAATGCTGACACATGGTACAGCACCGTCATCCAAGTGCAGGAAGACAATGTCCACAGACATCCTAAGCCAAGGGAGATGACTCAGTGGTTAATAGCCGCTGCCGCTCTTTGTAGAGGGCCCAGGTTTAGTTCCCAATAGCCACATCACAACTGTCTGTCACTCCAGTTCCAGGATATCTGATGCCTCTGACTTCCTCAGGTACCAGGCTTGCACAAGGTGCACAGACATGCATGCAGGCAAAACACCCATACACATAAAATTAAAGTAAGCTGTGTGTTTTAAATGGCCCAGAAGAGACAGGCTAATAATTAACAGTTGCATGGGGACAAAGAGAAGAGGAAGAACAGTGCAGTGAACCTGAAGGTCATCTGGGAAGGGACACAGTGTTTTGGCTTTGTTGTTGTTGTTGTTGTTGTTGTTTTTCAGTTTTTCAAGACAGGGTTTCTCTGTGTAACAGTCCTGTCCATCCTGGAACTCACGTTGTAGACCAGACTGACCTTAAACTCACAGAGATCTGCCTGTCTCTGCCTCCCAAGTGCTGGGATCAAAAGTGCGTGCCACCACCGCCCGGCAGTACAAATGCTTGTCAAATAAATTACAGTCATAAGGATAAGTCATTGAGTCATCTGAGTACGTGCATGTTCCAGAGTCAGTGTCTGCCTTACCTGGGCCCGAGTGAGGCGAGGGAAGGAGAGGGATGTTTGGGAGTAGCAGTGATGCTGAAGCTGGGAAGACAGCAGTGGTTGAAGTAACAACGACAGAAGTGACTGGAGTACCCGCTATTCAGTGAAAATGCCAGATGGCAGATGTCGGCTCCATGACTAGAGGACTTCCTTAGCATGCTCAAAGCCTGGCTTCCATCCCCAAAATCACAGCTGAGACACACCTGTGATCCCAACACTCAGGATGTGAAGGCAGAAGGACCAAGAAAGAGTTCCAGGTCATCCACAGAACTGGAGGACAATCTGGACCCTACTGAAAGAGAAAAAGGAATAAGAAATGGGATGGGAGAAAGGATGCAAAAGAAAAGGCCTGCTATGTCTCAGATACCCACTGCGGCACCGACTGTAGTCAGCACAACGGTCCAGGAAGCAGCTATGGTCACTGTGAGGTCTGTAGTGTTCACACTTAGCAGTGGCCTCAGGAGGCTGATTGCCTGTCCATGGCACCTGCTGTCTTCCTTGGCCTTGGGTTTCCAACAAGTCAGGAACCTCATGGAGCCTCAGTTCCTCCATCAGTTGAAGGTGCTCCTGACCTCAGGATTGCAAGGCCATGACCTGGAAAGAGTAGGAGAGAGCTGACTGAGTCCCAGGGGGCCCATGGGAGCCGATGACCAATGAATAACTCCAGTTATGAGCTTGGAGTGTGACCTAACAAGTTCACACAGCTACTGAAATATGAGCTGACATTCAAACCCAGGGCTGCCTCAGAGCTCAAAGCCATTGCAAGTGTCCAGGTCGATTAGGTCTGACATTGGCTCCTACCCCAGAACCTTGGACAGCAGCCAGGCAGCAGCAGTCCCTGCGGGAAGCCTTTACAGTTCTAGAGGAAGCCTGTGCCTCTACACATTGCTAATGCCGGAAGTGCTATATCAGTGCCCAGCACTGCCTCCCACCAGATCCCTAAGGCCCTCTTAGGCCAGGACAAAGAAGGCCATGCCAGAAATTCACTGATCAAGATTCTGCACACTGCAGGGACAGCTGGTGGAGGACTGGAATCAGAACCCAGCCTGGTCCCATTCCCTTGACACAGCCAGCCCCGAGGGACACTGCCTGTCTTCCCCAGCCAGGCTCTGCAAGGACAGATGACAAGAAATGAATCTGGCCCTGCTTCCTTTGGGAGAGCTATAAGAAGTTGGGGAAAAGGGCAGAGAAAGATAACCAGCATCTCCTCCTCTCTGACCTCCAGCTCACTCTCCCCAGTATCTCCTCTCTGACCGCTGGTCCAGCCTCATCCAGCACCTCCTTTTGACCTGCAGCTCATCCTCACTGAGAGATTGCCTCTCTGACATCTAACCCATCCCTACATCTCTCTGATTCTCTGGCCTCACTCTAGCGTTTCTGTGACCTCATTCAGCCCCCTACAGCATCCAGTAAATCTCTCCATCTCAAAAGCCTTCACTTAGCTTTCCTTCCCAAGTCTTTTTCACCTTAGCAGATAATAGAGGTTGATCTATGGACAGCTCCTCTGTGTCATGGTTCTGTCCTCCATGAACCCTAACTGTGTATGGACTTACAGTGACTCATGTCTTAGAGATAAAGAACACTCTGGAAAGTGCTAGGGTTTGGGATATGATGTGTCTTCGTTTGTGTTGGAAGTTTGATCTCCAACGTGGTAATGTTCATCAAGTGAACTTTTAAGAGGTCGGAAGTCTCAGGTCCTCAAAGGTGTGCCCTCCCAGGAATTGGGAGCCTCTGATGCTTTTGTTTTTCTGGTGATTGGAATAGAACCTAGGACCTCACGAAAGCTAGGCAGGTGCTTCAGCATCAAAGCACAAACCCAGCATTCTGAGAGGGGTTTTCTTTTTTTAAAAAAAAATTATTTATTTATTATGTATACAATATTCTGTCTGTGTGTAAGTCTGCAGGCCAGAAGAGGGCACCAGACCTCATTACAGGTGGTTGTGAGCCACCACGTGGTTGCTGGGAATTGAACTCAGGACCTTTGGAAGAGCAGGCAATGCTCTTAACCACTGAGCCATCTCTCCAGCCCCCTGAGAGGGGTTTTCATACAAGGAGCAAGCCCAGGAATGTTCCCCATTCTAGATGTCTGTTGTAGATGGGCTGCCTCTCCCCAAGTGCTCTGGCCGCCACTATCCACCGTGACACAGTGCAGCCAAGGGCCCTCTCCAGAACTGATCTTCTGCAGGCTCTATACCCTCCAGACCAGCTAGCTCAATAAAAACTTTACTCTCTGAAGTTAGGCAGCCTCCACTGAAATGAGTGACTCCGACAAAATCGTCAAAACAACAGAGTCTTCCCAGGCATAGCAACTCAGACCTGTCAATCACAGCTACTTGGGAGGCAGGGTCAAGAACATTGAAAGTTCAAGGGTAGCTTGGGCTGCACAGTCAGATCCGATCTCAAAGGCAGAGCAGGGATTCTAACCGTGTTTATTTGATCTTCAACCATAGATATGGTTTGATCTCCGTGTATGGATAGCTACCCTTTGTTGTCAGCTTGACTCAACCAGGAATCAGCTACAAGGCACATCCCTGGACATCCTTGTGAGAGATTTCTTAGGATAATTGAAATGGGGAGACCCACCCGAATATGAGTGGGACCTTCTACTGGTAACCTATATATAAGGAGACCGAAGAGAAAAGGTTTGTTTTTTCCTGTCTGCCTTTGAATCATGCTGGCATGTTTATCTACCTCTGTAGATCTCCAGGAATCCTCCAGGCCTTCAGTAGCAGACTGCTGAAGCATGCAGCCTCATGGACTAAACAATTACTGGATTCTCAGCCTCTCCAATGTGCAGAGAGCATTGTTGGACTACTCAGTCATTATTGTGTAAGCCAATCCCCCTTCGAGAAAATACATATGTGCTGTGGGTTCTGCTCCTCTAGCACAACCCTAACACTGTGTTGACTCAAGGACAGAACAACCCAAAAGCAGGTCACTGAAAGAAGGCTTTAAGGAAAGAGCAATTGTGCATGACAGATCAGGCATGCTGGGGCTGGGCTGTAGCTTGCCAGGTTCCTCTTGGTAGCCCTGTCTTCCAGAAGTGTGTCTATGAATGCAAGGCCAAGGAAGAAGATTAAGCAGCCAGTCAGTGTCCCCCAAGCACTCCAGGCCATACATAGTCACATGCCAGCGTGGCTCCAAGAACTAGGCCACTTAACTCCCAGCTCAGTCATGTGATTGTCTGAGGCTCCTGTGAACCCTGGTCTCCCCATTGGACACAGTGACTGACCACTGGTGTCAAAGAGCTAGCCTCTTCTCAATCCATCTCCATTCTTCTCCCTGGCCCTGGACTTGTTGTTTTGTTTTATTTTCTTATTAGACTATCTTTACAGCACTTCAGGGTCATAGCAAAGCTGAGGGGACCATACCATTCCCCTGCACCACCATGCTTAACCTCCCCCATTATCCACATCTCCTATTGGAGGGCTTCACTGGTCACACTGCTAAGCCCCCTTGACTCATCTCCGTCACTCAGAGCCTGAAGTTTTGTTGAGAAGCGATTTCTCAGAATTTCCACAGCAGGCAAGGGTAATAAAATGTCCAGACACAGGCCAGACGAGCCTGCCTCATCCGCCCTCTGCCAAGACAAGCAGTCTACACAGAATCCCCCAGAGGACAAGCAGTGAGACTCCTGGGTCACCAGGCTGTGGATGAGCAGAGAGGTGCATCATAAAAACAGTATGCCATTCTTTCAGCTTGGGAGAAAAGGGAAATAAAAGCTAGTGTCCCGCAACCAGGTGAACGCCATTAACCTGTCAAGAGTATGTCTCCCTGATGTCATTGGGCACTGGGGCTTGAGAACTGGAGGCTGCTGTGCCTCCAGCCCCCCCCCCCCCGCACAGTGTGAGGATTATAAATGACAAAGCGATCAGTAATGAGCTCTTCCTGCTAGGTCCTGCCCCTTCTTCAGTCACACTGACTCGGTTAACCCCATGAGGACCGCAGTGGCAGTGCCCTCTGTGGGATGGGTGTATCATGTGCTTGTATACATACGAAGGTCAGAGGACAACCTCAGGAATCATTCTTCAGGGTGCTGTTGACCTGGGGCGTTTTGGTGATGGGTCTCTCACTGACCTGGAACACCAATTAAGTTAGGAGGGCTGGCAGGTGAGCCCCAAGGATCTCCCTGTCCCTGCCACCCCAGCACTGAGGTAAGTAACACCATGTCTGGCTTTAAAAAAATTGGTGGGGATTGGGGACCTGGAGAGATGGCTCAGGGCTTTAAGCATTTGCTGCTCTCATAGAGGACCACAGTTTGGTTCCCAGAACCCACATGAGGTTCACAACTAACTTTAACTCCAGATCCAGGGCATCTGATGGGCTCTTCTGGTCTCAACATACAGGCATGTGATGTACATACATACATGCAAAACACTCATGAACATACAATAAAAATAAAACTTTAATTATTTCCTTTATTTAATTTAATTAATAATTTCATTTATTTATTTGTTTGAGTGTGAACACATATGCATACATGTCACATGTATGTAGATGTCAGACAACAACTTGCATTATCAGCTTGGTAGCAAGTGCCTTTACCCCTTGAGCCATCTTACTGGCCCACACCTAGATTTTTTGTTTTGTTTTGTTTTGTTTTGTTTTAAGACAGTGTTTTTCTGTGTTACAGCTCTGGTTGCCCTGGAATTTACTTTGTAGACTAGACTGGCCTCAAACTCACAGAGATCTGCCTGCCTCTGCCTCCCAAGTGGTGGGATTAAAAGCGTGCGCCACCACCGCACACCTAGATTTTTACATGGGTTCTGGGACTTGAACTCAGATCCTCACTCTTGTATGGCAATCACTTTTACTCTGCCATCTCTCCAGCCCCTTTCCTGTCTTAGAGACAAGGGGACTGAGTCCTAAAACCAGTACAAACCAGCCCATTGCAGCCTTTGGAGTTTTACTGTAGCTTCAACCCACAGACTGCGTACCACTGAGATGAAATTCCGTGAAGGGATTCTGTGCTTCCAACGCCCATGCCAAGCCCTCTTCCACCAGGTGAGTGCTGGGTCTAACCTGGTCATGGTGACATAGAATGCATGGTTCCCAACACCTGCTGTCTATTATTTGAGTTCATTTTATGTGTCTGTGACAGGGTACCTGCCACAAACAACTTGAAAAGGGAGGCAAGGTTTGTCCTGGCTCACAGTCTCAGATCATCAGTTCCTTGTAGTGAGGAGGGCAGCACAGAGCAGCTTACAGCATAGCAGACAGGAAACAAACAGAAACTAGGAGAATAAAGGCAGGAGATGGGTCCTAGGTAATCTACTTCATCTGACCAGGCCCCACCTACTTCTCTCTGCCTCCAAATAATGCCATCATATTACAAAGACAGCAAGAGATGAACTCATTGATTAGATCAGAGTCTTTCTTTCTATCTTTTTTCCTTCTTTCTCTCTTTCTTTCTTTCTTTCTTTATCTATTTATTTATTCCTTCCTTCATTCCTTTCTTCCTAAAGAAAGTCAGACAGTCACATGCAGCTCCTCATCTGGTGTGTCTGGAGTCTTTCAAGCCTGACTTGGCTCTGTCCTCTTACAGATGGACTTTGGAGGCTAATTTGAAAGTTCCAGCAAGGGAAGT